TTTGAGCCAGATGGCCCGCGCACTTGAGCCAGCTTGTGGTGTCGCGCTACCCCTTTGAGCCAGATGGCCCGCGCACTTGAGCCAGCTTGTGGTGTCGCGCTACCCACTTGAGCCAGATGGCCCGCGCACTTGAGCCAGCTTGTGGTGTCGCGCTACCCACTTGAGCCAGATGGCCCGCGCACTTGAGGCAGAGAGAGAGTTCAGCCATGACCGTGCGCTGCACAGGTGATGGCGGCGCTGCTCGCGGCGGGCGCGGAGCCGTCCCTCATCGACACGGACGGCAACACGCTCGACGCGAACACGGTGGTCGCGACGCACCGCGCGCTGGCGGGCGAGAGCGCCGCCGCCTCCGACGGCGCCAAGGACGAGCTCTGACGGGCGGCCTGCGAAGGGCGGTCTGCGACGGGGGCGGGCTCTGCGAAGGGGAAATATGGCACGGGAAAGAAAGCACGCGCGACCTCTGCGAGGGGTGCGCTGTGGTGGGTGCCGTGTAAGGCGGCCGGACGCTGGCCGGACGCGGGTGCAGACGGCGACGAGGCATGCCACCCGGGCGGGCGCGGGGGGGGGGGGGGGGGGGGGGTTTAACTTTCCCCTTTACTGTCCTACCCTGTGGAATTTCCCCAACCCAAACCCCCCCGGGAGCTTAAAAACGCCTCTTCCCCCCCAAATTTCCCGGAAGGCCCGGGGCGGCCACAGACAGTAGGCAGAGTTTGCACAACTAGTAATGCCGTCGTTGCAGGCGGGGGAATCGTCGCCCGACCCAAGGCCACGCAGGCGCTGGCCCCTGAGGGGTGGCCCGTCTACCGTCTACCGGTAGACGGGGGTAGACGGGGGTAGACGGGGTAGACCATTTGGTAGACGAGTCTACCACGAGTCTACCGCAGTCTACCGGTAGACCGTAATGAACCTACGACACCAGTCTACCGGTAGACTTGGTAGACCGCGGTAGACGCGCTACCCCTTTTTCAGCCGCCGAACGGTAGACCGCCGCCGCCGGACGGTAGACCGCCTCGGCCGTTTGAATATGCAGCCTCCAGCTCTCCACTCTGGCGCCACTTTGGCAGACGAGCGCCGGCAGATGCCCTCGCGGCCTGCCGGCGAACGTCCGTCCGGCGAGAACGCGCGCCATAATGGACGTGTGGCTGTCTGGCGAAAACTCGCTCTCGAGAGCCGCGAGAGGGCGGCGCTCTGCAGTGAGCGGTGCCGCCCGATGAGTGTGTAAAGACGTTCATTTGATCTCATAAAAGACACGGAGCGCGCCTCGCACGGAAATGGCATGATTTGAAGCTCACCGCGCTCAACAGCCTCTCTCACCGGCAGATTTCGCCCGCGCGGCAGACACTTTCATCGCTCGTTCTGCGTACGCTAAGGTGGGTTTCGAACCAGTGACAACGCCCGTCTGGGTTTTTTTTGCGCCGAGTCGAACTGCGGGATACATTCGAATGCAGTTTTGCGACGGTGTATCATTCACTTTATGGCACCGTTGCATATCCGGATATGCAACGGTGGCATTATAAAGTGAACGATACACCGTCGCAAGAGAGGGGAGCTCGCAGGAGAGGTGACGAGTGAACTACAGGTGGTGGGGAAGGCAGCCTCGATTGCCACATCCAGACATGGGTACGAAACAACGACAAGACCAAGGCACGGGCAGAGGAGAGAGAGAAGAATATAGGGTGGATAAAGCGCCTGTTCACGGCATGGAGGGTGAGCCACGCTGAACGTAGAGCCGAACGGGAGGAAGCCGGGGAAGAAGACTCCGAGGAGGACGAAACACCACAGTTGCTTTTAGTTTTACTACCCAGACGTCGAGACATTCTGTGTGAGCGCACCCCGCTTTTTGATACACTCCAAAATCCTCAAGCAAGATCGGCGAACTCGTGTCCTACTATCCCTAGCTCGTGGTCGCTGGTCCGTGTCTTGTTGTCTTCCAGGACGCAGGAGAGGACTTCAGCCTGCTCTCTTCGAGTGCGAGATACGTTACCTTTCCTTCCGCGCGGCTTCCTGTTCCTCCGTCTCTGAGCGAGAGAGAAGAAAAGTGGGGGCCTCAAGCGCTGCATAGAAAAGAATTTACCCACCGCCCGCTTTCTTTTTTGGAGGGAGGGAGGAGATCGTGCACGATGGACCGTTGCGGAGAAACACCTCATGCTTCCACTCCCGTCTGGTATTTCGGCGAGCGCGTTCACATTCGTTGCACCAAGCTGTTCACAACCTCAAACTGCGCAGTCTCTCGCCAATTCTCGCTGCAACCTTCATGCCACCTCGCGGTCGTCCCACTCTCGTCGTTCTCTAACTTGTCGCTTCTTCCTCTGTCGCCCGCGAGACCTCGAGAGAGTAGTGCCGAAGGCGCTCTATTTGATCGAGCCCAAAATCACTGTGAGAGGTTTCGTCGGTGAGAGGCTCCGTCGGTGAGAGGCAATCATCGAACCCCCAGCTCAGGAATGCTTTTGCCTGCGCCTCCCCTCGCCCCGCGCGATGCGGCGCGTCTTGGCCTATGCGCGAGCGTGCCCAGCCGATTCGCCCAATATCCCAAGCGCTGCAGCAAAATCGTGCACGGCTGCCCGCTGTGCTGCGACCGCCGCGCGAGCGTCTCGATCCGAGGCTCGAGGGCCATGAATCTGGCGCAGCCGGATTGCGGGCAGAGCGGCCACCTAGCGCGCAGCCGCGAATCGCCTCCATGCCTACTGCGCTCCCGCGACGCCCGAAGCAAGCGCGCGCCATGCTCATCCCATTTATGCTGCTGACTCTCGCTCGCCGCCTCCTGCGCCCTCGCAGATCCAAAACAACGTGGGCGAGACGGGCGTGCCGCGGTGTCCTTGGTGCCGGGCCTCAAGCTGCGTGCGCTGCGAGTAGGTGCGGCCCTCCTGAGTCCCCCTTCCTCTCGATTCCCCCTCTCAAAGAGGCTCTCAAAGCAGAGAGAAGCAGCACTGGTGGCCCGGAACACGATGTGCAACAATTAGAGCAGGAAATTAGCCGAGATTGGCCGAGATTCAATCAAGATTTCGTCAATTAACAAATCGACGGAACTTTGACGAAATTCGTGAGAATGTGCTGGGGCATCATGCGAGTTGACTAAATTGACGAGATCATCTGCCAGACGTCGACCACCTGGATTTGATGCCCGAACTAGAAACTGACTGTCTGCTGAGCTTGCCAGCTGGGGGGTCTGCCTTATCGGGCTTGCTCTTCCTGGGGGTCTGCTCGGCGGATGGCGACGGCGAACACAACCAAGCAAGGCGCGCAGATGTAACTTGCAGATCGATCCCCCGACCACCCCTGCATGTGCGCGGGCCTCTGGTGCCACGGCATTGGGCCAATCCTTGAGTGTGCGCTGAACGCTAACTGTGCGTGAGGGAGGGGGTGCTATCGTGAGGATGCCTGATTGTGGCAGTCTAGCGTGCGTGCAGCGGTGGCTAGGGGCGTCAGAGCGCCTTGGGCCACGGCCTGTGGCCGGCATGTTTCCGGCACGGGGCCCGCAGCGCTGTCAGCCTACGTCTCTGCCGTCGCCATCGTTTGGTGTGAATTTCTTTACTTGAATCTTGGATTTGTGCTTGACCCGCGCGCGCTCAAGTCCCCCCCCCCCCCCCCCCCCGGCAAGGCGCGCGAGGATACGAAGTTTTTGGTTGTGCCAACGTGAGACACAGCGAGACCGCCGGTCTGACGGGGACAGGAGCTCTCCAAGTCCGAGGGGCCGCTCCACGGGGCGGTCAAGGCCATCCTGCTTGTCTTCACGCGCAGGCGCGCGCCGAGTGTGTCGAGCGCGGCGCGGCCGGCAACGGCGTGACCAAGGTGACCACCTTCCACTCGCGCGGCAAGGTGTACATCACGGTGAGCTGCTCGTTCGCCCCATGCCCCTCTTCCCGAGCGCCTCTCTACCGCGACACGCCTCCCGCCGCCGCTGCCACACGTGGCTGCCGCCGCCCCTCTCACTGCACCCTCCTGCACTGCCCACCTGGATGGGCTAGCCGCAATCTCCCATCCTTCGCTGGTCGTGGCGGCCCGCTGCATGAGGGCCGCCCTTATCACCGGCCCGCCGCACACCAACCTTTTGAGCTTCCGTGGCGCCCCCTTTTCTGCCCGGGCTCGGCGTGACCGCTGCCTCTCTGCTGCCTCTCTGCTGCCTCTCTGCTGCCTCTGACTCTGCTGCCTCTCTGCTGCCTCTCTCGGCTGAACGTCGCGCTGACCCGTGCGCGGCGGGGGCTCGTCGTGATTGGCGACGCAATCTCGGGAACTCTCTCGGGTAATCTCGGGGACAATCTCGGGTGACAGGCGAGGGCTCATCGTGATTGGCGACGCGGCGACGCTGCGGCACGACCCGAGCTGGGCAGCCTTCCTCGAGTACGCGGCCGCGGTTTCTTTTTTTGCGCCACACCTCGGCCAGGCTGCTAGGTGCGAGCGGCGCCTCTTCACGGCCGTAGCTGTGAGCAGGCGCGGTGCATCGGCTCGCTCGACGCGCAGGGGCGGGTGCTCGACGAGGACGGCCAGCTGCACGGGGTGCTCTAACGCTCGAGCTAGGGCGGCTTGGGGCACTCGCGCCGCTGCTGGGCGCCACGCATCCGAGGTGCCACATCGCTCAACGCTTGAGCCTTGAGGATGTGTTATTCAAAATACAAACCCGATTGCGAGCCAACACGCGAGATTTCGAGATTCGAGACGCATCCGAGCCCGCGCCGAGCGCGCGCATGCCATCCTGGTAATGAGCACAGGACCGTGGCGTTCCACGTCATGGATACAGTCAGATTAGCGATTCATTCCCGTTACAGTCTCCGATTGCGGTTGCGCCGTCGACCCTGGCTCGTACTGGATCTCCATACCACTTTGCGACACGGTCCGCCGTAAATGGATCTGTTGAACGACCCCCGAACAGTGTGTATGCTCGATGCATTTGATTCACAGCTCGTCGCGAGATGGCATCTCGACGTACTTGTCGTACACCGCTAGGTAGGAGTAGCACTCCTTCACGCTCGGGGTCTTGCCCGAGAAGCCCTTGCAAGTGTCATAGGGCGCGTCACCCTCCTTGTTGAACTGAAATGCCATGGGGTAGTACTTGTCGTGCAGCCCGTGGCCTGGAGGAATTGGGGTTGGCGCGGACGTGTAGCGGCCGCACGGATCTTCTTCAGTTGCGATGAGGTGACCCGTATTCTTGAGCCACGAGGCCCGGAAGCGCTCGACGTTGTTATGGAGACTGAAAAAGAGGGGGTCTCCTGAGGAGCGATCGGGGTTTGGTTTGAGGGCGCGGTTCGCGGGGCAGTGGGACGGTTGATTGCAGTCTCTGGACTAAACGAGGGCGCGGTGACCTGGGCTGAAAGAAGCGTCGCTAAGCTCACAAGCGAACACAGTAGATCCGCCGCCTGCCCACGCGTGCACTGAGCCGTGAAGAGGTCCCTCTTCCACGCCCATGATCTGCTCGCCGTCCGTCACGTTGACCTTGTTCCCGAGAGATAGTTGGTATAGGACATGTCGGTTCGTTCCTGCTGGCTGAGGTACCAGCTCCCGGAAAACGGATTCGGCCAGGGATGGGCGGTGTTCTCGGCCTCGCACAAGCCCCGGGGGTCGAAGGTATGCGTCACTCCCGGGTAGTAGAAGACGCAGCAAATGAAGTCGTGGTAAGTGCCGCGCTTCTGGCAGTCGCTGTCCATGGCGGCCGTCGAGATGGATGGCGCATGTTCTGCTCCGGGGTTGCGGCACAGAGTGGTGGGTCCGTTAGGGTTGACGTTGGCCTGAGAAGGGGGCCCCGGGAGCAGGCTTTCATCCGTCAGATTGCGCGCGCAGGGGCATGAAGTCCGGAATTGCAGCCTGGTCTCGGGGCCTCCCTTACACGGCGCGTTGCCTTTGAAGAGGTCGAGACTGAAGGGCAGGTTTGCCAGGGTCGGACTGTTCAACATGGGAATGGGCCAGTCTTTGAACGGGCCGTCCACCACGGAGAAGTTGTTTTCGGCTGTGCCGGGTGAGCCGAAGAGCTGTGGCGTGAAGACGCCCATACTGCGCTCACACGAGGTCTTCGGTTAGGTGGATGGGTGGGGGGTGGGGGGGCGGGGGGGGGGGAGGGGGGGGGGGGGGAGCGCACGGGTCGATAGTCCAGTCCCAATACGGGATCCCCTCAAGCTCTGGGTCGATCTGCCGGAGGCACCGCTCCACCTCGGCGAGGTGCATGCCGTGAAAGGAACCAAACTTGGGTCCTTTGTGGGCCTGATCGTAGGTCTCGTTGTCAGCCGACAGCCCGTGGAACGCGACCGCCGCGTCGTACGTGGGCAGGAAGGAGTCAGTGCACAGCCGCGTTCCCTTCTTGTACACCCACAGCGCGTCGGTGTAACGCTTCCACTCAGCGGCCGAGAGCTCGCGCACCTCACGGCGCAACGAGGGCTCCATCGCGTTCGGGTGGCACTTGGAGGGCTTGGCCGCTGGCGCGAATCCGAGGGGAACGAGGCACACCGGCAGGGCAGACGCCGGTAGCGCGGACGCGAGAAGAAGTGAGGCGATCTTCAGCATTGCAGTCCAAGATGTGACCTGCGTGCGCACGACGGCGGCGGAGCGTCAGCACAGCATAAAATGGGACGAGCACGGCGCGGGCTCGCTTCGGGCGTCGCGGGAGCGCAGTAGGCAGGGAGGCGATTCGCGGCTGCGCGCTGGGCCGTCGATCTGTCCGCGATCCGGGTGTGCACCATTCGTGGGTCGCTCGAGCCTCGGAACGAGCTGCGCGCGGGGCGTTTGCAGCACGGCGGGCAAGGCTCGAGCGCGCTGCAGCGCATGGGATGGGGGGCGAAGTGGCCGGGCACGCTCGCGCAAATGGTCAACACGCGCCGCATCGCGCAGGGTGCTGGGAGGGGCGAGGGAACTGCAACCTGAGACCCCGTCGGGGGAACCAGAGAGAGGATGGTACCAGGCCCGCGCACACAATTTCTTTGTGCAAATTGCAAAAAAAATGTGTTGTATCAGGTGTGTATTCTTTTTGCTTGGGGCGGCCAGCATGCTGAAATTCTGGAAAAACCTGACCGGCCCCTGCGGTGCCCCTACCTACCTACCTACCTACCTACCTACCTACCCTACTTATGGGAAACTAAAAAAGAAATCACGGTATGGGTGAAGGTGGGGTACTAGACCAACTAAAGTGATGGCTGGTGGTACTCTCCTGCAATCACAGTCCTTCCTGTGACATGGCAGGCCACTATCAAGCCCTACAAGCACCAGATCACCCACTTGGGGAGGGTTGACGTCGTTCGCTGTCCCATCTCCTCATCTCTTTCCCGCCTGGGCGGGGCAGTGGGCGGGCGCGCGGTGCGGCGTGGCGTGTGCGTGTGTGCGACTGCAACGAAGGACCGCTAGCGAGGGACCATTGGGTTTGTACTATTAACAACGAAGGCGCTCTCAGAAAGAATTCTACGAAACAAGCCCCTCTCAGAAAACACGCCTCCGTGGCTCGGGTTACACCAATCCTCGCTACCCAACGCGGCCAAAGGATATCCACCTCGAGAACCTCGAGAGAACCCCTCTCAGAAAGAAAACACGGATGACATTGAAACCCAGCCTGGCAGAATCGGCGCCTGCTCATCGCTCCGCCGCTCCGATGATGAAGGCCCTCGCCCTTTCGCTCCTCGCATTATTGTCAGCCTCCGCCGACCCGACAGAGTCGGAGGCGTCCCGCGAAGCCACTCCGCCGGCGCCCTGGTTCGACGCGCTGCTCCCGCCGGAGGGCTCGGTGTGGCGCACACGCGCCTCTGCGATCGGCGCCACCTTCCTCATCTCTCTCGCGCCGGCGGCGATCCTGCCCATCATGCCGACGCCGGCGGCGGGCGACGTGCAGCCGGCGCTGCTCTGCTTCGCCTCGGGCTCGATGCTCGGAGACGTCTTTCTGCACATCCTCCCGCACACGCTCGGCGGCGGCCACGGAGGCCACGAGCACGGAGGCCACGCTGCCAGCGGGAAGGACCACGACGACCACGCCGCCCACCATCACCACCACCACGACGACGATGACGACCATGAGGAGGGGCATCACGACCACCACGAGCATGAGCGCCACGGCGACGCGGAGCACGGGCATGAGGGCGAGGGGGGGCACCACCACGGCGACCATGGGCATGAGTGCGTGCAGAACCCGCCACCTGCGGCAGTAGTCGCATCCTGCGCCCCCCCGTTCTGCCCTTGCACCTCTCCTCCCTCCTCGCCCCGACGTGCATCGTTCCACTTTGACTGCCGTCCCCTCCTCCCTCCTCCCTCCTCGCCCCCTCCCCTAGGCACCACCACCGCCACGCTGGGCACCGCCACGGGCGTGCGCACGAAGGCAAGCCGCATGCACACGACGGCCACGACCACTCCGTGGGGACGCGCGCCGGGCTGCTGCTGCTCTCCGGTGCCTTGAGACACCTCCAAGACACCTCCGAGACACTTCCGAGACACCTCCGAGACACTTCCGAGACACGTCCGAGACACGTCCGAGACACGTCCGAGACACCTCGAGACACGCCTCGGACACACACTTTCGAGACACCGCGAGACCAGCCGCCCCCAAACAGCCGCCCCAAACACCTCTTGCAGCCGCCACCCTCGCCGCCGAGACACACCTGGCGTCGATCAAACCACCCCTCTTGTCCGCACGGACGCGGCTTGCTGCGGCCGCGGCCGCGGCGGCAGCGCCAGCACCACCCGCCGTCACCTCGCCGCCGCCCTCACCGTCCAACCGGCGCGCCCCCCGGCCCGCGTTTGCCCCGCCAGGCTTCGGCGCCTTCTTTGTAGTGGAGAAGCTGATTCGCGGCGGCAGCGGCGAGGCGGGCCACGCCAGATGATGCTGAGAGTGCAAATCTCGCCAGATCTCGCCATGTCTCCTCCTCTCTCCCCATATCTCCCCACATCTCCCCATATCTCCCCGTATCTCCTCGTCTCTCCTCACATCTCCCCACACCTCCCCACATCTCCCCACATCTCCCCATATCTCGCCAGATCTCCCCACATCTCCCCACTTCTCCCCACATCTCCCCACATCTCCCCATATCTCGCCATATCTCGCCACATCTCCCCATATCTCGCCAGATCTCGCCACATCTCCCCATATCTCGCCAGATCTCCCCACATCTCCCCACTTCTCCCCACATCTCCCCACATCTCCCCACATCTCCCCACATCTCCCCACTTCTCCCCACATCTCCCCACATCTCCCCACATCTCCCCACATCTCCCCACACCTCCCCACACCTCCCCACATCTCCCCACATCTCACCACATCTCCCCACACCTCCCCACACCTCCCCACATCTCCCCACATCTCCACACATACACATCTCCACACATCTCCACACATCTCCCCAGATCTCCGTGTGGTCACGCCACAACTCTTCCGGTGCGTGGATGGCACAGGCGGGGCACGGACACAGCCACGCCCATCACGGCGACTCCGACGGAGGCGGCGGAGGAGGCGGCGGCGGAGGAGGCGGAGGAGGCGGAGGAGGCGGCGGCGGAGGAGGCGGCGGCGGAGGAGGCGGGGACGGCGGCGGCGGCGACAACTCAGACAGCGCCGGTGTCGCCGCCCGCCGCTCCGGCCTCCGACAGCGGAAGGGCGCGGGCGGCGACGCTGCGTCGGCGTCGGCGGCGGCGGCGGCGGCGGCGTCGTCGTCGGCGGCGGCGGCGGCGGCGTCGGAGGCGGCGGCGGCGGCGGAGAGTGTCGTGCAGAGGCGCGGCTGGCGGTGCCAACCTGTGCCGTGTCGCGGGAAGTTCCGGCCTGGAGAGGCGCTTCTCGGATCGTCCGGGGTAGGCGCGACCATATCTCGCCAGATCTCGCCAGATCTCGCCAGATCTCCTCGCCATATCTCGCCATGTCTCGCCATATCTCGCCATATCTCGCCACATCTCGCCACATCTGGCCACATCTCGCCACATCTCGCCACATCTCGCCACATCTCGCCACATCTCGCCACATCTCGCCAGATCTCCCCACATCTCACCACATCTCACCACCATATCTCCCCATATCTCCCCATATCTCCCCATATCTCGTATAGGCGCGACCAGCGGGTTGCGGGGCTGCTCGCGCTCGCGGCCGACGCGGCGCACAATCTGACAGACGGGTCTGTGGCCCCCTCTAACCCTGACCCTACCCTGACCCTCGCCCCCACCCTCACCCCCGCCCTCACCCTCACCCTCACCCTAACCCTGACCCCAACCCTAACCCTAACCCTAACCCTCAACCCCCACCCTAACCCTCACCCTCACCCTCACCCTCACCCTCACCCTCACCCTCACCCTCACCTAACTCTAACCCTAACCCTGACTCTAACTCTAACCCTAACCCTAACCCTAATCCTAACCCTCACCCTAACCCTCACCCTAACCCTAACCCTCACCCTCACCCTCACTCACCCGAACCCGAACCCCAACCCTAACCCTCACCCTCACCCTCACCCTCACCCTCACCCTGACCCTAACCCTGACCCTAACCCTAACCCTAACCCTAACCCTAACCCTGACCCTAACCCTAACCCCAACCCTAACTCTAACCCAAACCCTGACCCTGACCCTGACCCCAACCCTAACCCTAACCCTAACCCTGACCCTAACCCTGACCCTAACCCTAACCCTAACCCTAACCCCAACCCCAACCCTAACCCTAACCCTAACCCTAACCCTAACCCTAACCCTAACCCTGACCCTAACCCTCACCCTAGGCTCATGCTCGGCGCCGCGTTCCTGACGTCGTGGGAGGTCGGCGTCTCCGCCACGCTCGCTTGCTTGGCGCACGAGGCGAGGCCGTCCGAGATTGCGCGAGATGGCGCGAGATTGCGCGCGATGGCGCGAGATTGCGCGAGATTGCGCGAGATTGCGCTGCACCATGCCCCCTCCCCCGCCGGGAGGCTGCGCTCGATGCCCCAGAGTCCGAGATTCTCCGAGATTCTCCGAGATCGCCCGAGATGTTCCGAGAGTGGCCGAGAGTCCGAGAGTGGCCGAGAGTGGCCGAGAGAGTGCCCGAGATTTCGAGAGATTGTCCGAGATCGCCCGAGATTGTCCGAGAGTGCCCGGGATTGCCCGAGAGTGTCTCCGAGATTGTCCGAGATGGGTTCCGCACGACATCGGGGACGTGGCCGTGCTGTGAACAGCGTCTCTTCACACTTGCAGCTGTGAATAGGTTCCGCACGAGATCGGGGACGTGGCCGTGCTGTGAACAGCGTCTCTTCACACTTGCAGCTGTGAATAGGTTCCGCACGAGATCGGGGACGTGGCCGTGCTAATGGCCGCCGGCTTCAGCAAGTGGCGCGCCGTCCCCCCTCCTCCCGCCTGTTTGCCCCTGCCTGCCTGCCTCCCCCTCCTCCCTGCCTGCGTCCCCCTCCTCCTTCCTGCCTGCCCCTCCTCCCTGCCACGGTGGACAGCCACACTCCACACCAGCGGCGGCGAACAGGCGCGCCATCAAGGCGCAGCTCTCCCCATATCTCCCCATATCTCCCCATATCTCCCCACGGCGAACAGGCGCGCCATCAAGGCGCATCTCTCGACTAATTAAGAATTAGTTAATTAATTAATCAACTATTAATCAGGCGCGCCATCAAGGCACAGCTCTCGACGGCGCTCGCCGCCCTGGCCGGCACGCTGATCGCCCTGGCGACGGGCGAGTCCGAGGCGAGACGTGGGGAGAGATGGGGAGAGATGGGGAGATGTGGGGAGATGTGGGGAGGTGTGGGGAGATGTGGGGAGATGTGGGGAGGTGTGGGGAGACATGGCGAGTCCGAGCCGAGACTAGAGCCGAAACCAGCCTGAGACCAGCCTGACCAGCCTGAGAGGAGCCGAGAGGAGCCGAGGGGAGCCGAGATCAGCCGAGATCAGCCGAGATCAGCCGAGATCAGCTGAGATCAGCTGAGATCAGCCGAGATCAGCCGTGGGCCCGACCCGCGACCCTCTCGACGACGGGTGCGCCTCCGACTTGCGGGCAGGCGGAGGCGCTGCTCCTCTTCACGGCGGGAGGCTTCATCTACGTCGCCGCCGTCGACATCCTCCCGGCGGTGCTCGCCGCGAAATCGACGCCCGCAGAGACGCTGCTGCAGGCGGGCGCGCTCGCCGCCGGCATCTGGATGATGGTCCTGGTGGCGGCGCTCGAGTAGACGGTTGTGTCTAGCGGTATGGCGGCGAGCCGGCGCCCGCCGGACCGCCGTTGCCTCCTCTCGGGGGACGGACGGAGTGCATGAGTGCGGAGATAGAGTCGGCGCGGTGTTGCCCCGCGAGGCCCTCGCTGCCCCGTGCCCGGCGCCGCCGGAGGGAGAGAAGAGAGGTGGAATATTCTTTTGGCCGAGGCGCGATATATGGTCACGGCACGCCGCCAGCCCGCGCCACACACAACAAAGTGCGACTTTGCGACCGGCCACGGAGGTCGGTCGTCGGAGCGCCTCTGCTGCTCCGGGGGGGGCCGGAACTTCAGAGTTATCAAATATCCGGATGAGATGGGCGGATGTCGTCGTATTGCAAGAGTAAAAGCACGCATTTTGATCGTCAATTATCTTAATATGCGTATATGCCCATTCTTTGAGCCTTGGTTTGATCAGGGCTACTCTCGTTGTGGCGTAGAATTCCGTCGCACCGCTATCGGGGATCCAGCATTGGGAAGAGTTGGTACCGGCAACCGGGCACGGTGGAGAGAGTCTCCTCGGAAGTTGGAGCGAGGACCCTCGGAAGTGAGCACTTATAGGAAAAACTCAGGAAGCCTCGGAGCGGTGGCTGGTATCACAAAGGTGGGTGGCATCGCGAACACGCAAAGGCTGCATCGTTGGTGCCGGTGCCGATGTCGCCGGTGTCGGTGCCTGTGCCTGCGACGATGGTTGCAGCGCCTAGCAGATCTCGCGTCTGTGTGGTCGCCACCATCGTTCCTCCGGCCGTGCGCGCGAGTCGCCCAGAGGACACACTGTCCTAGAAAACTGTGCGGCAGGAAGCAGGCCGGCGCACAGGCGCTCTGGAGCTTTTTCAAGAATCACGTGTCAGTGAAATGGAACTAGCCATTAAGAAGTAACGGCTGACAGCGCTGCGTTCGGGGGCCGGCCACAGGCCGTGGCTCAGAGCGAGCCACCGCTGCACACACGCTAGACTGCCACAATCCTCCCCAGTAGACCTCACCGAGTGCCCACCCACCCTCACGCACAGTATGTGTGTGTGTGTGACTGTGTGTGTGTGTGCGTGTGTGTGTGTGTGTGCGTGTGTGTGTGTGTGTGTGTGTGTGTGTGTGTGTGTGTGTGTGTGTGTGTGACTGTGAGTGTGACTGTGTGTGACTGTGTGTGTGTGTGTGACTGTGTGACTGTGTGTGACTGTGTGACTGTGTGTGACTGTGTGTGTGTGTGTGTGTGTGTGTGTGTGTGTGTGTGTGTGTGTGTGTGTGTGCGTGCGTGCGTGCGTGCGTGCGTGCGTGCGTGCGTGCGTGCGTGCGTGCGTGCGTGCGTGCGTGCGTGCGTGCGTGCGTGTGTGCGTGCGTGCGTGCGTGTGTGCGTGCGCGTGTGCGGGGCGCGGCAGCCGGCAACAGAGCCTCGGCGACGGACATGCGCGAGCGCGACAAAGGAGGGACAAAACCACGCGAATTCTGCACGCCTCGCTGTGCCGCTGGCTTGACTGAATCAGGCAGCAGCAGGCTGCTGCTGCTGCCACAGCAGCAGTCTGCTGTGGCCCCAATACGCAGGTTAATGACTAGCAGCACTGCCGGGGGCATACGTCGACCGTGCCCCGCCTTGGGCACGATGGACATGTGACCGGCTCCGGTCAAGATGTGCCCCGGCATGGCGGCTGAGGCTCTCAGGTTGGTCGACGCGAGCGCCGAGAAGGTGGAGCAAGACCTCGCGTCCCCCATGCTTGCTCGGTTGGCAGGGTTGGATTTGGGTTCTTTGTGACGCGGTCGAGATTCCACATATCGAGCCCGGGGCATCAACTACGACTTCGAGTGGCTCCGCCCTTGGGCCGATGATCCCCGACTCCTCGCCGCGGTTAACACCGTCCGCCTCCGCCGACCGCCGAAGTGTGCGAGGCGAGAGTACTACCACATGCTTTACCACGCGATGAAGTACCACGGTACGTCAACCGAGAACCAACAAGCCGTAGGCGTTGCCGTTACTACGTTACCGTAGGTTGGGCGTAGGGGGTAGACAGCGCCTTAAAATCCACCAGTCTGGGATTTCGCGCAAAAATTTGACTCTGAAAAGCTCGCATATCCCTGCGGTGAGCGCTGTGGTCGCCGCAGACTGGCGCCGACTGACGGCAGCATGGAGACGTGATGCCTCGCCATGCTGCCGTCAAGTCGAAATCGACATGCGAGTCGATCTTGGGCCCGCCAGAGGGATATGCGGCGTTTCGGGCGACAACAGCGCTGCGACCGCGAAGTGGCGGTGGACATGCTCCCATGTTGCCGACGCGGCGCCGGAGTGGCCGGCGCTGCTCGCCGCGACCACGACGGCTACTCTGATGCTCCGGGCCGGCCCGTCCTACCCGACGGTGGCACTCTTCCACGTCTCGCTCACGCTGAGAAAAAATCTGAAACGGCATGCAGCAGAGTCACCGACGAGTCGGTCCGCGTGACTCCACGTGTCCCGTACCCGTTCTCACACATCCATAAACTCACTTTGGCCTCACTGAAGCGATGCCTGGGAATCCTTAACCCTCGGATTGTAGATTAGGAGATAGGACGCTGTCTCTAGCCGCTAGCCCCTAGTTGGGGGGCGGGGGGGAGCGCGGGGTCCGGGGAGAGGACAGAGGTCGCAGGTCGGACGTGCACACGTGGAGATCACAATCAAGTACACAAGTTCCGTACAAGTTGCATTTACGGGTTCGCGTGTTATGGCTATGGGCTGCCAGCCTCGTTTATGTCCGAAATAAGAACCTCGTTATCAAAAGAC